GAGATGTCTATGTCATGACGACCATCACAAATGTGGTGGTACCAATTGTCTCCTGCTGTGCTCTCTTCTAATGCAAGCCTGAGTGTAGTCCCAAAGACTAGAAGGGCTGTAAATAGCAGCTTTTCCATAGAGGCAATCTTTAAGCAAGTTTTGACCCTAAAATATTTTTATCCTTGCCCCTTCTCCTCCTGTAGTTCTAAAGACTAGTACCATGTACATTTTTAATACTGCCTCTAAGAAGCTATTAGCGTTTGTGAAGAACAGCTTGTGACTCCCTGTTAAAGACTTTCTCTGCTCAAGGCAGGCTGTGCACCAGAATTAATAAGTGGCTTTGTATAAGTGACTGGATAAAAAGTCACTGAAAAGAGAGTCTGGACTTTCAAGGGCTTTGAGAGCTCTGTATCTGGTCAGAGTTGTGCCAGGTGCCTTAGACTGAAAAGACACCCAGTGCCTGGTATCACTAGCAAGTTCTGCTGAAGTCATCAGTGAGCTTCTTAGAGAAAAAGAAATTATTTTCTCATATCTGGACCATAAATTGAATGTACTCAGAGCTCAAGGATGATCTTGCTGATGAGCTACAAATAGAAAATAACTGAGAAGAGAGTATCTGTCTTTTTTGAACTGAGTTGCATATTCTGCATGCTGAGACGTGCACAAGTGCTGATGAGCTGGTAGACATTGGAAAATACCCATCTGGGTCAGAGCCAACTGTGTATGCAACCTGGCCCAGGGAGGTGAAGATTTAGGTGAGGAACTTAAACTCTGGCCTTTCTTTTTTTTCAAAAAAAAAAAAAAAATCCCTTTCTTCCTAATATTTCTGAGGGTACATTATTTTTTTAACTATTTGTGTAGACATCCATCACAGGTGGCTTTCCTTGAGTTAGTTTGTATGAGATCAAAGAGAAACCACAAGGCTGGAATACTACAGCTGAGCAAAAACTTCAGAACAAAATTGATCCATCAATTTTGCACCTTCACAAAATAGAGAGTAATATCTTTTTCATTTGGTTCAATGCTTTGGTGAGGCCTTCATCCAGCCTTTGCTTTGCACTCTGGGCCAAGAAGAGCTTGGTCACTCAGCAAGTCATTGCATTTCCATGTTCTGAAGAAGAAACTCTGTAGGTGGATCGTTTCCCATGCTTGTCATGGGCAAAACATCTCTGCAAGTGTGTGGGGCTGAGCAAATCTCACCTCTTAGGACAAGAGTCATGGGTATGCAGGCTGAAAGTGTGAGGCCAGGCAGACTTCAAGAGCAAATGCATGAACAGCAGGTGGCAGTCCTTTCCTCCTCCTTCCCTTTGTCACTACCTGAAAATATGGCCATCCAACCCAACACACTACACCTTCATAACTGAGAAAGAAATGAATTCTACGTCTCTCACTTTTGGGGCAAAAATCATAAACCCTCAATGGTGTGCAAATCCTGGGCTTTTCCTCCTCTGGGTGTCTTCTTGGAGGGCTGCAATAGGTGGCATTCAGCGCTTATGCCAGGATCCCTCAGATGCGACCATTTGGTGAGGCTTCTATGGCATGGGGCTTTCACCCCAACTTGGGAGACAGGTTGTCGTGTTAGGCTATAGGAAGCTACATACTCGCTTCTCTGGCCCTAGGCAACCAATGTATAGCTAAGTTCATTATGTAATTCCAAACCAGTGCCGGCACCTTTAGCACTATCCCATCCTAAAGAGAGAGATTTTTAAATAGCTTTCAGCTGCCTGAATATGGCCAGGACACAGGACTTGGAGAGTTGTTCTCTGGTGTTTTCGCTCCAGACAAAGAGTGTCCATGAGGCCACATTTGTCACAGTCACTTTGACATAGAATCATAGAATGGTTTGGGTTGGAATGAACTTACCTTCAAGATTATCTAGTTCCAACCCCTCTGCAGGTGGGTGTTGGTCCCATGGGCAGGGACACCTTCTATTAGATCAGGTTGCTCAAAGCTCCATCCAACCTGGCCTGGAACACTGCCAGGGAGGGGGCAGCCACAGCTTCTCCGGGCAACTTGTTCCAGTGTCTCACCACCCTCACAGGAAAGAATTTCTTCCTAATATCTAATCTAAATCTACTCTCTTCCAGTTTGAATCCATTACCCCTCATCCTATCACTACACTTACTATAGAGTCCCTCCTCATCTTTCCTATAGGCCCCGTTAAGTACTGGAAGGCCACTGTAAGGTCTCCCCAGAGCTCTTCTGGCAGAGCAACTACATTTTAACAGCTTGCCAAATGAGGATGTGATAGAAGGATAATATTTCACTCCAACCCTCAGCTATTCTTTACATGAATGAGATGGTGATTAAGAGTCTTTTTCTTCACCAGCAAGGCTCACAGTAAGAGCTATCCTTTCCTTGGACATGCACTAGGTAGCTGTGTTTAGATCGACGATCCAGCTGTTTGGAGTCTTATCAGAAGGTTTCCTGTCTTCCTCTGGCCTCTTCATTCACTTGTCTAGGCAAATCCCTTTCCTGAAACTAAGACCCAGAAGCCCATTCGCCAAGGCCAGTCCTAAATTCCCTGCAACCGGGACTTCTTGTTCCTCTCTGGGCATCTACCACATTAATCATCATCAGCGCACGATGTTACTAAACCAATGTTCTTTATGAAAGCAAAGAAATGTGTATCAAGACAGTAGTATGCAGCTCTTTTTCCCTGTTTCCTCCAGGTGTTTTGGTGGTTTTAAGTCAGATTTCTCTGCAACATATAGAATGCTTCTTTTTCCTTAGTTTTCAAGACTCTGATTTTCTCTCTAAAATGGCTGGTGGGAAGTCTTTTTGGTTTATAGGTGTTAAGTCATTTCCCCTTCTCCCACCTTCAGACTAACCTTCCTGGTCTACTGTAATGCCAGAGGATTGCAGTACTTGATCAGATACTTCACTATTTTGGTTAATACTTAGCTAGAATCTGAATTTGAAAGTTGGTGTGAGGGTTTTTTTTGTGGGAGGGGATAACTTGTGAAATAACCAGTTCTTCGTTCAAGGGTACCTCCATTTTACAGGACAATTAATATGTAAGAACAACATATGTTCAGCCTCAGGCCTGCATCCCAGCATCTGGATTTCTCAGCTCCATCTGGCTTCTAATAAATGAACAGAGCCTCATAAATTCAACTCAGAAAGCAAACTAGTTTTTGTACATTTATGACAGCCATATAGAGATGTATTCATCCTGTTCAAGACCACAAATATGTAAATACACAGGTATCCCCAAGCAGCCATAACAAGCAGTATTGTTTTGATTAAGAAATTGTGAGCATCTGCATAGGTTAAAAGAGAAAATGATACTAAACCTCAGAGGTTTCCTTTATAGTGGTAACCTTTCAGACCTGTTAAGGATGATAAGCAAGTCTGATTGGTACTGCCAACATATGACACCAGTCCTGGAAGGATTTCTCTCTGTCTGCAGATTATGTAGTCCCACAACTGTACATTATGTTCTCAATTGTATTGGGTTTGTGTGTTAAGGTTTTGGTAGTGGGAGGACTACAGGCATGGCTTCTGTGAGAAGCTGCTAGAAGCTTCACCTACATCTGAGCTAATGCCAGCCATCTCCTAGACAGACCCACTGCTGGCCAAGGCCAAGACCATCAGCAACGGTGGTAGCACCTCTGTGATACCATATTTGAGAAAGGGAAGAAGTTGCTGCGCAGGAGCAACTGCAGCTGGAGAGAGGAGTGAGAATATGTGAGAGAAAAACTCTGCAGACACCAAGGTCAGTGAAGAAGGAGGTGCTCCAGGCACCGGAGCAGAGATTCCACTGCAACCTGTGGTGAAGACCATGGTGAAGCAGGCTGTCCCCCTGCAGCCCGTGTATTTAACAGTGGAGCAAATATCCACCTGCAGCCCGTAGAGGACCCCATACCAGAGCAGGTGGATGCTCGAAGGGGGCTGTGACCCTGTGGGAAGACCATGCTGGAGCAGGCTTCTGGCAGGACCTGTGGACCCATGGAGAGACAGGAGCCCATGCCAGAGCAGGTTTGCTGACAGGACTTGTGACCCTATGGGGGACCCACATTGGAGCAGTCTGTTCCTGAAAGACTGCACCGTGTGGAAAGGACCCATACTAGAGCAGTTCATGAAGAACTGTAGCCTGTGGGAAGGACTCACATTGGAGAAGTTCATGGAGGACTGTCTCCCGTGGGAGGGACCCCGTGCTGGAGCTGGGGAAGAGTGTGAGGAGTCCTCCCCTGAGGAGGAAGGAGCAAAGGAGCCTCAGAAACAGCGTGTGGTGAACTGACCACAACCCCCATTCCCTGTCCTCCTGCGCTGCTGTTGGGGGAGGAGGTAGAGAAAATCAGGAGTGAAGTTAAGCCTGGGAAGAACAGAGGGGTGGGGGCGAAGGTGGTTTTAAGATTTGGGTTTATTTCTCATTATCCTACTCTTATTTGACTGGTAATAACTTAAACTAATTTCCTCAAGTCAAGTCTGTTTTGCCTGTGACGGTAATTGCTGAGTGATCTCCCTGTCCTTACCTCGACCCTTGAGCCTTCCATTATATTTTCTCTCCCCTGTCCATCTGAGGAGAGGGACTGATAGAGCAGCTTTGGTGAGCACCTGGGTCCAGCCAGGGTCAATCCACCACCACATTAAGAAAGAGGCATATGTGCCAAAGCACATACGGGATCAGTGCCTATGACACTTTGATAACCCTGTGCTGTTTCTTACACATATTTCTGTTTCTTGAGATGCTCACTGGGTTGTTTTCTTTCTGGAATTAAAAGGGCCAGTAGTGTTTGTTTTTGTTACCTTCATTCCCTCCTTTTTCTGCTCCAGGCAGCAAAGCTCTAGCAGTTCTGCCTCATAGGTTGGCAGGAAATTTTAAACGGCAGCAAGCTGCTGCTCGGACCACCCCCAGACTTTTTTTCCTTCCCATTGATGCAGGAGACTATTTAATTGGGGTTGACTTGTCAAACTTACTTGTTGATGCTTACCAGTAGCTGCCTAACCACTAACAGTGATTTTTTTTTTCTTCTCTTCCTCATCCTTTGGACAAGCTCCCCACAATGAAGATGCTGCTGAGCCTGATTGCTTTGCTCTCTGCTGTCTTGTTAGCCAGCACAGCCCCTCCAACTTGCTACTCAAGGGTGTTGTCTCTGAGCAAAGAAATCACAGAGTCCTTTAAGGAGTTACAGACCTCCAAAGCTGTGGTGAGTCTACCTAAAAACTGCTCCTGCGAAGACACTGAAGATTGCTTGCTTTTGATGCAAGTTTCTCTCAAAACAAAATTGCAATGTGTCTTTCCTCATTCCTGCAGGACTCGTGTGTGGAGATGTTGCCCAGGCTGTACTTGGACATACATGTAAGTTTTCACCTTTCTTATCTCAGCTTCTCGCTTAGCTCTGCAGTAAAAGTAGATAATGAAAACAGAATAACTCTTAAGATTGTACCCCAGAAGAGTGGTTTGAAATGAATTTTTAAAAGCTTAATTAACTAGAGAGGTGAGTGACCAAAAAAAAATCTCATTTTCAACCTTATTAAGATCCTTATGGAGCTTCTGAGATTTTACTTGTTTAAAAATTCAAAAATGAGGAAATCAATATTTTGAAGTGATAACCATTTTTATGTTACTAATTTATTGCGACAGAGCCTTTTTAGAAGTTCAAAAATGTGCAACAAAGCTTTGAATAACAGTTTTAAAGAAGAAATTCAGAATAAACTTTCTTGACTTAATAAATCTGCTTCATTTTATATCATGAGTGGCTTCTGGCACTGCAGTTTTAATAAAAAGAGGTACAGGAACACCCTGCTGGCTTTTCCTGTTTTAAATAGCCACTTGTTGAATCCAGAAAGAAAAAGTATGCCTGAGGATATAGAAGTGCGATACTGAGAAAAACCAGCCATAGTCATCTCCTAGCAAAGACAAAACAGCCTCCTGCACATATAGTTTATGTCATAGCTTTATGCCCTGGGATATTTGACATATTTTGCTTCTGTTCCCAGTGCTCCACTGAGTAACTAAAAAGTAGGAAGTATCTGGAAAAAAAGAGATGTCTGACACATTTTGCCAGAGGCAACTACAGCATAAATGTTGCAAGTCAGGACCCTCTAGATCCCAATTCCACAGTTGCCAGTGCCTCGCTTCATTGCAAAAACTAAGCAATGTGAGTCCAGTGCCTCAGTTTCCCTTACTTTAAACCAACAGCTTGGATATTTGTTCACCTGCTTCACAAGGACATAGTGAAATTCATCTTGACTGTGCTTTATTTCGATAATGCAAAGTCTGAGGCAAAAACTACTCTGAAAAAAATTTTGCCTGGTGCTCACAGTATTGCCTGTTGTATAGGAACAGAGGACCCATGTCTGTGAGATTTTAGTAATCTGTTCACGAGCTAAATCAGGTGTTCTCTTAAAAGTGAGACAGTGCACTTATTCTGTAGGTATCTCCACTTACTACAGGACCAGATTTGATTGTATTGGCCCTTGTGCCTCCTAAAGTATGTGAGAAATAAGCTGGTAGACAAAACTGTGTCTATGCACTTTTCCAAGCACTTATTTGAACCAAACACCTTTCTTATGAAATGTCAACGGTGAATTTTCCTAACTAAAGCTTACATAGATTACACATTCATAGAGGCAGGAATTCAAGGTTCCCATAGAGGCAGTAAGAATTTTGTAAAAGATGGACAAAAAACGTAAATCTGTGTTTGTGCAGGGTTACACATACTTCTTTTGCATGCTTTGCAGAATTACTGTGTGTTGGCAAAACTCCGTGAATTTGTGGCCTACCCCAGATGTGAGAGAGTGCTTGAAGTGAGTGAGCTGAAGGAAAAAGCTCGGAGCCTGTACACCATCATGATCTCCTACTGTAGAAGGGTAGGTCAAGATGCACCAACAGGGACATAGTCTCTGCTTTTTCTCTGTCTCCACCCTGTCCCCTGACCAGCAAAACTGGATCAGGGCCTGAGCTTCTCAACATTGTGCTATCTTCTGCCTTTCTCCTTATAAATGTTAGCCTTGTCTTTTGTTTCTTCAGGATTTAGTGTTCCTCACTGATGACTGCAGCGCTCTGGAAAATCCTATTCTGCCTCCGATTGAGCCTTCCATCACTGACAGCTAAAAGGGAGTCTACCCAGAAGTTGTACCTGGAAAATTTGCAAGGAGACCAAGAGTCAAAATGCATGTATGCAGTCAACCACAACACTAACAATTAAGATCTTTTTCAAGCACACTAGCAATACTCTCTCAGACCTACCCATTTTTCTCTGCCTTGGCAGGAAATGATCTGCATGCCTTACATACCTACTGAGCTGCTAGAGAAACTATGGTTAGAAAGCATTTTTTTCATTTGGCAAGGTATGATATTTCAGCTTAGCCAAATCTATAAAGTATGTTTTGTTCAAACATTAGATACTAGATTTTTTTTTTAATCTTTTATGAATAACTAGATTCATATAAAGGAAATTCTTTATGATCAATATTCTACCCTGACTTAGCAGTTCTTCTTTTATTAGATGGGCATGGAAGGGACCACAGGTGTTTTTCTCAAAGTGTTTGATGGGAGAAGTGTAACTCTGTACTGACAGATGTCTCTCTACCTGTATGGCTCATATACGTACACTGATAGTTTTTGATGTCAGACTTGTAAGAATAAAGGTAAAAGTAACCTGTCTCTGTGGTAAACTAAATAAAAACAGCCTTCTAACCCAAGAGGGTTGTGTTACATCATGTCTTTCAAGATCAACCCAAAAGCTGTCATTCTTATAAACTTACTTTTCACAGTCACTCACAAGTTTTTTTTCACAGTATAAACAATCTTTAACTTTCTTTCCATAGCAATGCAAGCTTTGCTGCATCTGCATGGTTTGACAATGTTTTTCTACTGAGAATTTTTCCATACTGCAAAAAATTTCTTTGATGAAATCAGTGGATTTTTTTTAAAATACTGTTTCTGTGTTGTGAGAATTTAAGTTGCGAGGCAGTAGCTCAGAGAGCCTATTAAAAGATTGTTGAGACACAGCCCATATACTGAGCTACTGAGATTGATAAAATTTCCAGATAATTGTTTCAGAGTCACAGGTCCCTTCAGGATCTACAGGATGCGAGACCTTCACAGTCAGCAACTCTTTGGTGCCAAGAACAGAAAGAATCTTCCCTGGAACAAGGGTTCCACTCAGACATCTCTACGGGTATCTGGTAGAGACAGTAGCAAGCTCAGCAATCTGATGTATTACCAGGCTGAACTAGAAAACATGCAACAGCTCGGGTACTCCTACACTGTCAGAAAAATCATTGCTCAGTTTGCCTTTTAGAATCCTTCTCCTCTCCAAGCCAGCAACCTCTGTACAAGGTCTTACACACTCTAGGATAGCAATACCATTTTTTCTGCATCACCTGGGCATACCCAAGGCAAACTTCTTCGGCAGTAGCCATATCCTGGAATAAGGGCACCTATTAGCATGCTGGCAGGGAGCCTGATAATCACATAGGGTGTGTGTAAGCACTGGCATCTCCCTGGTTCAAGGAGAAATGCAGGTGGAGTTGCAGCCTTTGCTGTCAGACTCTACGTTCAAGATTTTCCTCCCTCTGACCAGGGACTCAGCTGCTGCCGGGGGAAGCAAGCAGTGCTGGGATAACATCAAGGCCTATACACTTCCATACAAGCACCAAAATGACATCACAGCCTCTGCTTTTCACACTGTTGTACAAAGACAGCTATGGACATACCTTGCAAGAAAGTGTGATATGGTCACAACAGATCAGGGTGGTTGCAGAGCTAACCCAGGGACTGGGTGGTACATGTGCTTGGAAGCTGGCAGCAGAAGCTGTTAATTTTTGGCTGCTTTTTCCACCTCCAGATGTCACGGGTTTTAAACACAGGCCAGTTGTAAAGCTTGCGTTGTGACTTGGCAAGCAAACTGCAGAGTAAGGCATGTTTCCTTTCCTGCAGAAGCCCATGCAACTCTGTCCCTAGAACTGGACCTTGGGTAAAGTCTGTGCAGGTAACCCTGGCACTCCTGCCCCTACTTCTTTCCTGTTGCATGGACACAGACTTTCTGAAATGGAGCATTTGATGAGGATTTTCTCACGGATCTTCTCATAACTCCTCTTTATCATACTTTATTTAAGTAAAAAAGCCTTCCCTAGTCCATTTTCATGGAACACATGATCCTAATTCCAGATTTCTCCTGTAACATTCCCATTCTTTCAATCACCTTCCAAATATATTTTCTCCTGCTTTAGGCTGATTACATTTGCAAGGAAAATGTAACCTGATTTCTTTAGGACAAAATATCTTGCAAGAAGTCTTTGGAATTAGAAACAGAGCAGGAATCACTACTTTATTTGCATTGCTTTAGTTAATAACTTCAGCCTTTTCATGACTGACAAAGACACCCTCTGTCTGCAATACACTCTCCGCATGGTTACTTACCAACAGGTCAGTTCTGCACTGTTACATCTTACTTCTGCAGAAGCTGAGAAAAGCAACTAGATGCTTTGGGGACTCTACATACTCAAATGGACATTAAAAGCCTACCCTCCATTTGCAGATGCTGTATGTTTCATTCCCAGAATAAGATTTGTCTGGTTGTTGGTGTGCTTTTACACCAAGTATATTCGCTAGGGTTTATGCTGCGACTGTCTTCATGTCTTGTATGTAATTTTTAATGGAAAAATGCGCTGAAAGCAAAGCTATGCTCTTTCAGTTCACAGTAACCTGCTATCACTCAAACTGTCTTAATGAGATTTGGGGATAGATGAACCCTTTTTATGAACAGCATCTTTTTCCGGGTTTTCACTGTCCAGAGGGAAAAAAACACTGGTAACGAGATCTAATCTACTTGTAATTTGCCAAGAAATCTTCCACTTCTCCCTTTCAGTAAGAAAGTAAGTTTACCAACCATTTAATTTACCATTATACCATGTATATAAGGACCAATGGAGCCATTCATGCAGCAGCACATGCTCATTAGGGCCCCAGCCAACAGGGAGACCGTGAAGGGATTAAGGACATATTTGTTGTAACTTGTCAACTGGCATCTTGCCTAGTTGTTGCAGAATATTACTAAAAGCACATCATTAAGAAACTGCAGTCTGTTTGTACGATCATTAGGGAGGAACAGTAGAAAAACAAATCATCTGTTCTGTTTTCTTGCCTGTTGAAGGAGGGTTGTTGGAAGGAGCAGTCAATCCTAGGACTAGGTTTTCTTTTGCAGACTTCTCTATCTGCAAGAAGCCTCACTGAAGAGCAGTCCTAGGACTGCTAGACTCTTCCTTGTATTATCATGTGGAGTAGCCAAGGTAGTCAAAATGGTAGGTCTTGGGGACTGTCTCTGCAAAATTATTCAAAGAAAAACATTAATTTCCAATGTTGCCAAAAAGTTATATTATGGTTATTACTAGTACCAGCTCCTTTCCCATCTCTTTTGTTCCATTCTCAGTCACATGGGTTTTCTTTAAGTAGGCACTATGGTCACTTAACTCCTCATATTCACTTTTTTCATGAAACCAGGCTAGGGATGAGGGCTAGCAAATGTCTAATCCCCAGCTACTACCCCAAATACCCAAGTCAGGAATGATGGCAGCCTACAAACAGATAATTAGATCATTCAAGGTGACGAATTTCCTCTGGATAATATGTGATTTGCTACTATTTAATATGATGCAAATTAAAATTAAATAAGGTCTTATGAAATCCTTTTTAAAAAACAAAAATAAAAATAAAAACGGTAATGCAGCATTTGGGAGGAATCTGATCGTTTAGCTTGTACACTTTGGAGTGGAGCGTTAGTTTGGCCAAACACCAAATTGACCAGATTTAGGAGTGCCCATTTGTCCATTGCGCCTTTCCCTATCTATGTGGTATCTGTGGGTTGAGCTAATGGGATGCTGACGGAGATTTTCCAAAAATTTGCTACAGTGTTAAGGTCTTGTAAATGTTACCTTACAAACATTTAACCACTGTACTTTAACCAGTACTCTTTTCCACATTAAAATCTTCTCATTTTTGGAGTGTATGGCAATGCAAGTGAAAATTACAGTGGACAAGCTCCACCAACTTTATTTGTGCAATTTTTTGGATTAATTTTTCTTCTAGGCTTGCTGTGGCCAGGAACCCTGTGCCACACAAGGTTTTACTGTTGCCTTGCCAGAGTAAAAAGGGAGCTGCTAGTAGCTAAGTCAAAATTCAGAGACAATAACCAGAGAAAGGCCATAATCTCATTATCAAAAGATTTTTCACAGTCTATGCTTCCTCTGCATGGGGTAAATGTATATCCTCAGACAAAAAATACAGCAATGAACAGAAAACCATTTAAAATACCTATCTCTTAAAGACAGACAAATACACACATATATACCCTGAAATCTTGTTTCATGTTCACAGGTCTGCAAAGAGGATGTGTTCAGACAGAGAAGAGGATTTTGAAGCCAAACAGATGTTAGGGGAAAGAAAAAGATATTTTGCAATAGATTGAAATATATTGATACTACATTAATATTAAATCCTTGCAGAAGAAAAAAAAAACAAAGTCATAGAACAAGAAAGAAGCTTGAGACCTCCTAATGCATCCCTTGAGCCCAAGACTAGCCTGGATATCCCAGGTCATTCCTGACAGCAACTTGCCTGAAAGATTCTAAGAAAGAGTTGATCTATAAAGTCCACAGCAGTTCAAATCAATACATTCTAGACCACCTTTTTGTTACAAAGTTTTATCTGGTAGTCAATTTGCACTGTCAAAATTTAAGCCCATTTCTTCCTCCTTTATTCATCACAGAAACAGGGATTGGATTGTTCTTTTTTGTCTTTGCAGCAGATGTTAGTACATCTAAAGACTTCTGTCTCTCTCTCTCCCTAATCTACAAATACAATTCTTTCAATCTTTCTTCATCGATCAGAGGTCTAGAAAACATGACCCTTTTTGTTGCCTTTCTTCTAGCTGTATCCACTTGTTTCCCAGGCTTCATGAAGCACAGTGCTCAAAGTTAAATATAGATGTCCGGCTGAGGCTTTATCAATGTCAAGTAGTGTAGAAAGAAAGATTTATCAGTAATGTTCTGACAACAGTAGATTACAAACAAAAAATCATCTCCAAGAGTCTGGAAGCATTGTTACTCTTT